GCATTGGAGAAATTTATGGATGACAGTCCTCTCAGTAGTTATCACTCATCAAAGCTATGTAGAACTTTCATGTTCAGGAGAAGTATACAAATGAAAGAAGAAGAAGCGGAAAGTTATTGCCTTCACGGCCTATTTTCTAAGCATTTGAGGGGCATTTGGCTAGCCACTGCTAGAAACAGAGTACTGGGCTGGATGAGTCTTTGGTTTGATCCAGTAGGGCTTTTCTTATATTCATCAAACATCTCAGCATTGGCTGTTTCAGAGGGAAAACCAAGAAAGTTAAGGAATATTATATACCCAGTTATTTGCTCCCACTTTTTGGCATTCGGACACCAAGGACGTAAATTCTGAATAACAGATGGGGACTCAGGGCCAGCTGTCTGCAGCGGCTATTGATGGGCCTGCCCTCCATGTAACAAAACATTTCTCTGAAATTAAATGGCCTAAAAAGTTATAAATAGAAAAGCACCATTCACTGTCAAATGCTTCCTCAGCATCAGCCTAGATAAATACGGAAAAGAGATTAACTTTACAGCAGAACTGAAGTATATTAATTAACTGTCTGACAGGGCAGAACACATCTCTAGGGTGAATATGACCAAGATGCTATTCCTAGATTGATTTTGAGATCACGTCTTGAAATCCAGTGTCTTTTAAATTAAAATACACACGCACACACAAAGAATCTTTACGTCTACTTCATTTAGGTGAAATAATAATAAAAGAAGAAGAAGCATCAAACACTTCCATGCTGTATATTTCACAAAAAAAATGCATTTTATCTTACAAATTGTGCCCAGGAACTATTTCTCTTGTTAATGATACTCATTTTATTCACCATTAGAGGCCACTTTGTCATGCCAAAGTCTCATTCTTTTAATTGAAAAGTGTTCTATTAAGAGGGAGATAGAATGATGTGGGATAGAATGGTTTAGCAAAAGATGAGTTATTTATTGTTTATCCCACTGAGGAGCTATCCAATCGCAAAAAGGTTCTCTGGGTGTCATAAGGCAGTATGCCGTGATTCATTTATTTATTACATTTATATACCATCTTTATCTTCCAAGGATCTCAAGGTAGTGTGCATGGTTCTCCTCCTGCCCATTTCATCCTCACAACAACCCTGTGAGGTAGGTTGTGCTAAGAGCTGGTGATTGGCCCAAGGACAGTGAACCTTGTTACTAAGTGGGGATTACTAACCCTGTTCTCCCAGCTCCTAGTCCAACTCTCTAACCATTCCACCACACTGGCTCTAGGTTGTTGCATCAGTACAGGGGTTTCTGTTCATGCAAAGGAACTTCCCTCCTCTCCCTGTGTGCACCCTCCCCAGATCTGCTCCAGAGGGTTAGGAAAAAAAACTCAGAACATATTTATGGGGGTACACAAGGGGAGCAGAAATTGAGGGATTTCTATTGCCCAATTGGAAATCCTTGCATTGATGGAATGAGCTAGTTGGAAACTGCCCATAATTAATTTTTTAATCTTCCCTCACCTTTCCACTGCACTTTAAAATACAGTGCTAGGATTAAAAAGTTGTTTTCATGAATGAGAAAGTGGCCTGCAAATGAGAATGGGTACGCTATATAGAGAAAGTTAGGTGAGCTCATTGAGCACAGATCTGCTCATTGAGGCTTAAGACATCTCCAGGTTTGTTGGATTGGGTATGCCTCCTGCCTTTCTTCAATGATGGAACTCAAAGCGGCATTCGTAGGGTAACCCTCAAGTTTATTTCCTATCTGTGGTTCCAGATTCAGTCTCTTCTCACGCACATTTAGGGAGCAGATTCAGGAGACCCGTGAAAACAAGCGGGGAGGAGAGAGGGCAGGGAAGTTACATTGCGCCTCTGAAAGTTGCTGCACAAACACTGTTGCACTCAAAGCTGTTTGCAAAATTATTTGTGAAGAATCTGATATATATTTTCAATGCAGTGCATGAATGGTGATCCATCTGGGAGGCTTAGTGGGGGTAGAAGGCCAGGCAGAATTGTCAATTTAAATCGTTTATGGTTGAATGTATGTCCTGGGACTGTGGCTTTAAAAACTCTCAGGTCCCATTGCTTCCCATTGGCTCTGTGTCTGCAACCTAACCCAGCTGGCAAAGAAGAGGAGATAATTGGAGACACTGGCCAGCTGCCGCTCATTGGGTGATAGTAAGCTTTTAGCTTGCCATCTTCTTAGCTGACTCACTGAAGAAACGGCAGAAGCAGCCTGTTCAAGCCAAGGGAATTTCTGCAAGATCCACAGTCACTCTTAACTCACTCCAGATTTTACCATTCACTTACCACATTATTATATGCAAGCCACATTGCGCTGCAGAAGCTTATTTTGGGGAACTGGGCTGCCAAGGCTCTGTTGTCCTGACACACTGAAAAGCTAACAGAATTATGGAAAGAATAAAAGGTAAATGTACCCCTGACCGTTAGGTCCAGTCACGGACGACTCTGGGGTTGCGGCGCTCATCTCATTCTATAGGCCGAGGGGGCCGGCCTTTGTCTGCAGACAGCTTCTGGGTTATGTGGCCAGCATGACTAAGCTGCTTCTGGTGAAACAAGAGCAGCGCACGGAAACGCCGTTTACCTTCCTGCCGGAGCGGTACCTATTTATCTACTTGCACTTTGACATGCTTTTAAACTGCTAGGTGGGCAGGAGCTGGGACCGAACAATGGGAGCTCACCCCATTGCGGGGATTTGAATCGCTGACCTTCTGATCGGCAAGCCCTAGGCTCAGTGGTTTAGACCACACAGTGCCACCTGCGTCCCAATCATGGAAAGAATAGGAGGATTCTATTAGCTTATTCTTGCAATGTTTTGTCTCCCTAAGACTTTCTTTTGTTGGCGCAATGCTTCCAATATGTGCAGAATAGATCATTAATTTACAAAGAGAGAGAGAGTGTAAATCCTTGAGAGTAGTCCTGGCCAAATCCTTGAGAATAGTCCTGGGCCTAATTTTTGCAGTATTTCCAGTGATAGGACTAAGTAGGAAGGGCATCCTTTTATAAAATTCTGAAAAGTTTGAATGTTCTGAAGGTAAGGATGGAGAGAAATATTATCTCAAAGCTGTACACATTGGGTTGTCCAGCAAAACTGAATGGTAGGAGATTCAGGGCATCCCCAAAAAAGTATTTCTTCACACGAGGCATCATTAATTTATGCAACTCATCACAAGAAGATGCAGCGATTGAGTTAATGCAAATTGGTGATTGTGCACAGGATGGGATGGACAAGGGAAAAGAATGTGTAAAGGGATTGCAGGAGATGATGTAGAATGAGCCATGCAGAGTGTCAGGGTTAAGCTGTAGGCAGCTGCTAAGCAGAGACCAGGAACAAGCAAGAGAATGAACTGGAGTCAATTTTATCATTGTAAAAGGCAAAAGCACAGCCTGAGCAGGACAAGTCTGGAAAATCTCTCTGTTCAGGCACACAAGTGGTCAGATTGACAGTTCACTACTAGGGCAAGGATGGGGTAACTTATGTTCTTGGGATTACAGCTTTCATCAGCCCTGACCATTGGCCATGCTGCACAAAAATAGCATTTAAATTGTATTCATTTCCTCCTAAAGGATGTACTTAGTATGAATTTTCCTTAAAATATACATTTGTGTATTCATTTTCCCTACTATGCATTTTTTTAAAAAAAATTTTTTACCAAGACTGGATCACAAAAATCATTAAAGTGCTTGGTACTATAACTGCATTCCAATCCAACTAAAATGACCAAAACTATGATTCTCTCTGGATTCTTATAATATTTTTGCTCAGGATGTTTTCCTCCAAGCCCACAGGGTGCAGAGTTGACAAGTTGGAGATACTACATTCTTCCCTTTTTTTTCTACATCAAGAACCCTCTTTCACTAGAATACATCATTAAACAGAATGTTCCCAACCTAGATATATGTGTCTTCCATACAAGTGTTAGGAGATGTGTGTACATCATGTACATCAACAAAGTGGTGTGTGTGTGTGTCTGTACAGCAGTCTATGTTGCCGTTATTTGGTATGCATCATTAAAGGTCATAAATGCAGAATTATCCGAGCCATGCCTAGCGAGCAGGTTCAAATTGCTTTTCTGATCCGGATGCCAGACTCAAATATTAGTTTCTGCTGCCATATGGCTGAGGGGGACAAAGCAGCTTGGCTGATTCCTGGCTGAGTGGTGTCATTTATAAGATGGAGTGGTCTTTCTCCAAATGACTGTTCATGCAGATTTGGAAAACTGTGTTGTTTTTCCTCCTCACTCTGGGTGGTTTATTTTTAAATTTGCCCAAAGTATTCTCTTTTTAAAAGAAAAGAAAACAATTATTAGTATTTTCCTGGCAAATTCATTTTAAGCATGGATGGACAAGGTTTTGTTTAAAAACTGCAAAGCTCAGCCATGCAGAAGTACAATGGTCACAGGTCCACATTTTCAAAGTTAGCCATTCAATGTGTACACTGCTTTTAAATTTAATTCTCCCAGCATCATTTGGGTATCTTTCTGGACCCACACCTTAGAATGGAAACAGGAACCATGCTCTGGGGTTCAAGTGCTACTTGACAAGTCATTTGAGAAACTGCTGCTTTGCTCCATAGTATTTATAATCTGGTGTTCTACAGAGATCTACTTTTTACTTGCTCTTCAAGAACTACTGAAGCCCCTGAGTAAGGTCATTGGGAGGTTTGGGGTGATGTGTCAACAGTAACCTGTCAGTGCATGTGAGAGAAATTGGGTATTGTGGTAGCAAACACAGTTTCAACCGAGAAAAGTAAAAATGTGCTCCCTATGAAATTCAGAAATGTCAACTGCGGCAAAATGCTACCACTAGGGAGCTGATGTGGAAAGGTGTCAATAACATCCTACACCAGGTGCGGGGAACTTTTGGCTTGCTGGATACTGCTGAACTACAAGTCCCACCAACAGTAGCAAATATGGTCAATGGCAACTGCTGATGGGAGCTGTAGTTAGCCAAAGGTTCCCCACAAGTGCTATTTTTACTCACATTTCCCCAACACCCTCCTTGCTGCCCCAACCCCAGTAAAATAAAAATGTCTGTCCGGCACAACACTTTGAATCCTGAAGGAATCAAAGGAAGAATGTGAAATCATGGTGAGTAGGGGAAATGTGCAAGAACACAAACACCGTTCAGTAGGGAAACTGGAACTAATGGCTCCCAGGCCAAAGTACCCAGTCTGAAGAAAGATGTCAGCACAGTATGTTATGGAATATGGTTTTGTTTAAACTTGTAACATACCATGAAATGCAGTGCACATGAGAGCACTGAATGAATCCCCCTGGGATTTTTTTTAACCACTTATTTAGATGTCTTGGGCATAATTAAGTATGATGTTAGTAGATCTTATGGGGTCAAGTTCAGCTTAAATGTGGTCTCCTCTGCAATATTTTGTAAACTTCCAGATGCAAACCACCCAAGCTAATAGCTAACAAAAACAAAAACAAAGCAAAAATGAAATAAAGAAAACAGAAGCATTAAAAAAACAACCCCACACATACATTAAAATTCGCTAAGGGCACTGATTGTGGGGGAGGAGAGTAAATTTTGTGCAGGTGCTCTTTGGCCATCTCTGTTGTATAGAATTTCACTTCTGCCAGCTTTCTGGAATAGAGAACAAATGCAAGTCTGGTTAAAAAAAAATAGACGTTCCTCATCAGTGGAGCTGCTTGTTACCAGGGAGAAGAGCTGTAGCTCAATGGCAGCGCATCTGCCTTGCACACAGATGGCCCCAGGTTTAATCCCCAGTATCTCCAGCTAGGGCTGGTCATGCCTCATGTCTGAAACCCTGGAGACCCACTTCTGGTCAGTACAGGCCAGGCTTGGTGAACAAGATCTCACTCTACCCTGGAGCTGTAAGCTCCCCCCCCCCGCCACTGTGGGCCACTTTGATAGGTAGGTGAGAAAGCCCGCCTGCCAATCACCTGATTATTTGCCTGAGGTAACCCTATTTCAAGGGACGCAGGTGGCGCTGTGGGTTAAAGCCTCAGCACCTAGGACTTGCCGATCGAAAGGTCGGCGGTTCGAATCCCTGCGGCGGGGTGCGCTCCTGTCGTTCGGTCCCAGCGCCTGCCAACCTAGCAGTTCGAAAGCACCCCCGGGTGCAAGTAGATAAATAGGGACCGCTTACTAGCGGGAAGGTAAACGGTGTTTCCGTGTGCGGCTCTGGCTCGCCAGAGCAGCGATGTCACGCTGGCCACGTGACCCGGAAGTGTCTCCGGACAGCACTGGCTCCCGGCCTATAGAGTGAGATGAGCGCACAACCCTAGAGTCTGGCAAGACTGGCCCGTACGGGCAGGGGTACCTTTACCTTTTTAACCCTATTTCAAAGGAAAGAATTGAGAGCCTTTCCTTTATGTCTTTGCAGCCAGGCTGCAATGGCAAACTCAAGCTAGACTGCAAAGGAAGAGCCCTGAGGAATGTGGTGTTTGTAGCCCCCACTGCACAGTTAATTGGGGCGGGCTGCAAACCCCATATTAGCAAGGATCAGTTCCAGTGGGAGATCGAGTCAATAACTCCTGAGTGTAACCAATCCTAGTAGGCAAATCTCTTTTGAAAAGAGCTTTCAAAGGCAGATTGTTTGTGGCATCGCAAACAATGTGAGCTATCAAAAGGCAAAACTCAGAAGGGTAGCCCCAAACATTTTGTTGTACCTCATATAGATATTTGGATCCCTGCCTAAGAGTTTAACTCTATATTTAAATCCCACTTATCTCCAGGGGGTTTAAATGCAACCAGCATTCTCTGGACTGAGGTCAATATATATCCTGCATAAACCTTTCCCAAACTACATTTATAGATGGAGTCCAGTCTGTAGGTCAGTGATAGAGCATCAGCTTTGCATGCAGAAGGTCTTTTGTAGGATGGGATGTGACCCCTCCCCCTGAGAGCCTCTGTCATTCATTACAAACAATACCAAGCTAGATGGTCCAATAGTCTGACTCAGTATACAGGAAGGCAGTTTCTGATGTCCCTTACTAAATCCCACTGAAGTTGGTGGAAGAGATTAATAGCAACTACCTTAAATTCCATTGGTTTCAGTGGGACATAGTCTGCAATCCTTTATACTCTTCCCTGGGAGTAAGCCCCCTTGAACTCAATGGGGGCTGAGTAGACCCATAAAAGAGAATAAAGTTGGTCACTGAGTTGGCTCAGAGCTCCTGAAATGAAGTGCTGAGAGACATCTTACAGCACGAGAAGCAAACACATAATGTAGCTGATTGTACATAAATAGTGAGGGAGACTTGCTTCTCTTTACCATCTTTTAACCTACCGGCTAAACTTTTTCTGAAAACCAAAACAAGCATATTTACATCTGCAAAGTGACATTAAAACAGAGGATCATGTTAGCAACTGAGATTGCTCGAAAATGCCAAAGCTGATGCCTCAGCATTAAAGCCTGTGAGTCACAGACTGCTTCTCTCATGCTAGAACCCATCTTTCCACAGACGCCTAAGTTTCACAAACCTCACAGATTCTGCGGCAAGACTGGAATTTCATCTTCAGTTTGTAGGAGTGGGGTGGGGGGTGGGGATTGCCTCTGCCTTCTGAGGTTCTCAATGCTGGCTAGATAAATTCCTTTGATTTGTGAACTGTTTGCAGAAAAGAATCTGCATCACGTGGTTATTTGTGGCTTGGCGCTCTCACTCGCTCTCTAGTTTCAAATACCAATATTCCTCCACTAACTTATAAATTCAAGGGTTTTATTCCCGGCATTTAGATACTGCAACCGGCTCTAGGTGCTCCAAAACAATAAAGACGTGTCAGCTGCACAAGGTATTTGACCATCTTGCTGTTGCAGTTTGAATCAGTGTGTAGAGTCAAAGGGTAGGAATATGAGAGGCAGTAAGTGGTCTAGAAGCAGCTAATACAGCAGTGTGATTGAACACAGGAAACTGCCTTATCATACCATTGGTCTCTCTAGTCAGCATTGCCTATACTGATCAGCAGATCTTCAGGGTTTCAGAGATTTTAGGGTTTCCCAGCCCTACCTGAATAAGCTGGGGGTTGAAAATGGCACTTTCTGCAAGCAAGGCAGACTCCTTTCCACTGAGCTACAGCCCTTCCCGGGGGACGCGGGTGGCGCTGTGGGTAAAAGCCTTGCTGATCGAAAGGTCTTGCTGATCGAAAGGTCGGCGGTTCGAATCCCCGCGGCGGGGTGCGCTCCCGTTGTTCGGTCCCAGCGCCTGCCAACCTAGCAGTTCGAAAGTACCCCCAGGTGCAAGTAGATAAATAGGGACCGCTTACTAGCGGGAAGGTAAACAGCGTTTCCGTGTGCGGCTCTGGCTTGCCAGAGCAGCGATGTCACGCTGGCCACGTGACCCGGAAGTGTCTCCGGACAGCGCTGGCCCCCGGCCTCTTGAGTGAGATGGGCGCACAACCCTAGAGTCTGTCAAGACTGGCCCATACGGGCAGGGGTACCTTTACCTTTACCTTTACAGCCCTTCCCAAAAGTACAATATACAATGCAGAATAGGAGTTGAGACTAAAGTAGCCGTTTGTGTGATAGTGACATAACACCTTTGGGGAAGAACTGTATTCTGACAGTCCTGTCACCATGCAGCACCCCAGCTCAACACTGTATTGTTTTTGACACCTGCTAAAAACTGTGCTTGTTTAGGCAAAACTTCTCAGGCATGTAATTTTATTGTGTATCTTTTTTATTAAAAACAATCAAACCTGCTGGTTTTTATTTATATTCTCACAAATCTTACTTCAATTTGTTCTTAATGCTTGATTTTTATCAGTATTTTTAAAATGAGCATTTTATATTGTTTTAGGTTCCATATTGCTAATACTGTTTTAGGTAAGCATGGCTGCCTGGCTGGCTGGGGCTAGTACCACTCAGGTGGTGAAGAGAACACTGCAATATTTTGTTGTAGGTCCAGCCTGAGTACGTACACACACACACATCCTTGAAATCTATCTGTGGATAATATTATTTATGAAAATTTCTATACCACCCTTCAACCGAAAATCACAGGGCAGTTGTTTACATTTTGCCATGCTGGATGGAGCTTATGGGAATTGTATTTTGACAATAATTAACAAGCCCCATGTTGGCTCCCCATGCTGTAGGATCAGAGATATCATCTCTTGCTTGTGGACTTCCTAAGGGCCTCTGATTGGTCACTGCAGGAAACAGAATACTGCACTAGATAGGCATTCAGTCTGATCCACCGGGGCTCCTCCTATCCTCCTATGGCACCATGTTCATCAGCTCAATATCAGAGGTGGGTAATCTATGATCCTCCAACTCTTATCAGCCCCAGCTGACAGGCATGGTGGGAGCTGTCAATCAGCAGCATCAGGCTAGCCAACCCTGCTCTATATTTAGACCCTCAAATCAACACATATAGCTTTGAAAGGGGCTACAAATTTACTTTTCTTTTTCTGCAGGAATCTGGATGAGAACAGGAAATATGAGGAAATATTCCTCTGGCTTATAATGAAAGCAGAACGATGATGCCTAATCTACAGAGACACAATGTTGGATGCATACAATACAATATTTGGGCATCCCACAGATGTCTGCAGTTGTTTCAATTAAAAAAATATTTAAAACCCCCAGACCACCACATTGCAATAATCTAAAGATAAAAGTGGAAACAATAGAAGATCTTCCTGATACTTTTTTTTTTTTGGAAGAAGAGCAACATCCTTGACATCACAGGAAGCAAGGAAACAAATCATTAACACTGAGAATCCTGTACAGGGGATTTTCAGCAAGTAAAGTAAATGAACATTTCAAAAGAAAAAACAAAAAAAATTCCTTCCAGTAGCACCTTAAAGACCAACTAAGTTAGTTCTTGGTATGAGCTTTTGTGTGCATGCACACTTCTTCAGATACACTGAATCAGAAGTTGCCAGATCCTTCTATATAGTGAGAAGGTGGGGAGGGGTATTACTCAGAAGGGTGGTGGGAATGGGTGATTGGCAGATAGCTGTGATGAGCCTGTTGACGACTCTTAACGACTGCAATAGGTCTTACAGGGAAAAGCAAGGGGTGAGAAGGTGAAAAATGGCTTTGTCATGTATAATGAGATAAGAATCCAATGTCTTTGTTCAGACCAGGTCTCTCCATGGTTTTAAGTTTGGTAATGAGTTGCAATTCAGCAGCTTCTCTTTCCAGTCTATTTCTGAAATTCCTTTGTAGTAAAACAGCTACTTTGAGATCTTGTATAGAATGTCCTGGGAGATTGAAGTGTTCTCCTACTGGTTTCTCTGTCTTGTGATTCTTGATGTCAGATTTATGTCCGTTTATTCTTTGGCGTAAGGTTTGGCCTGTTTGTCCAATATAGAGAGCTGAAGGACACTCAATGTGGTGCCTTCCTATCTGTAACTATTTCAAAAGAAAATAGGGGAAGCAACTTCTGGAGGAAGGGCAGGATATAAATTTAATAAATAAATAAATATAACTGCAAGGCTGTATAGTTTGGAGCGCGGGGGGGGGGGATGTGGTGGAATTCTCTGAGGAACAAAGTAAAAGCACCAAGTTACGGTAGTGAGAGAGCTTTCTATGTTTTTTTTTGTTTTTTTTTACATTAAATAACAACGATCCCAGGATGTTTCCTGGCAGAAGTCTATCCCATCCCTTGCAACCTGAGATCCCTTTTCACTGTTAGTACCTAAGACTGATGAGGAACTTTCACATACAAACTGCATGCTCTAACACTGAAGTATGGTTTTCTACCCACAACCATACAAGCATGGAAGGATCTTACCTGCAATATTTCTTATTTTCAAACCTTTTCCTCATTCACCCTCCTCAAATATCCCCCCCCACTTGCCAACCAAGCTTGATCATCAGGAAGTAATATGAAGGCCTAGTCTTGAAGGATAATACATTCAGAAATATCTTAGCTGTTTAGGCCTCAGCTTAATATCACATGTTCCATATAAGTGCATATTTAATATTCTTAACAAGAAACCAAGACTGTCAAATACATTACTTAATCGGGACAATTTAATAAATTAATAGGCAATTTAAAGAAAATAACAAACCCTCTCAGGTGGCAGATTAATTATGGACTTACATTTCGCTGATCAAGAATAATTGGATTATGAATGTGGGCCAGAAGTAAGAGATCTATTTTCAGGGTCAATGGGTTTATCTTTCCACAAATGAGAATAATGTCTTTTGGTATGCATATCTAAGGCCATGTGGTCCAGAAGTCAGAGGAACACTTCAGCTGGTTGCTTTGGAAGAATCTTCATAGGGTAACTTTCTCTCCCAACATTCATGTGGACAGTGAGTCTTCTGAAAGAAACACAAAAATTGTGTTACCAAATCCTAAGAACTGCTAAAATTTTAATAAGCAATGTAACGACTCTTTGTCACAATATTAGACTTCTATCATGTGCATAATGGCCTCGCCTTCAATGCATATCCAAGTATTCAGCTTCCTGTGCCAACAAATTCCCACCAAATGGCATTATGCAAATATATTTCTAGTCTTCCAAAGAAAACGGTGGTTATTATTCATTTGCATACAGTGACCCATTTAAAGTTGCACATAGTAAATTTAAATCGCCTATTGGCTAGCACTGAACTAAGCCTAATGATCCTACTGGGGCCAAACACAAACAATAACAACAACCCCAACACCATCATTTGCAACCCGAAGTTCTAGCAGGGATTCCTAGATTTCAACCCAGCCGCCATGTTGTCAACAGTTACTCTCTCAATAGCTAAAGAAACAAAGAACCATCATTCTAGCTGTAAAAGTTTTCATTAAACAGTAAATTAGCTGAAAATGGCTGACAGGATTTACTCCCCACACTCTGATTGCTGATATTTCTGGTATCACTTGTTAAGCCCCTCCAAAATCCTGTCAAGCCTTTAATGTGAGTAAACTGAAGTATTTTGGAAGAAAGTTGGAGATTCTGTTACTTCAGCTACTCTGCTACTGAGCTGAACTTCCACTATGTTTTCTCTTGCCTTTCGTGATCAGTGTAGGGTAGACCACCTTGACACAGAAGGCCTTAAAGGATGAGAAGCCTGCAGCACTTAGTGTTGTGGACGGTGGGGGGGGGGGAATTTAAAAATTCAATCCTCCTGCCAGACTGGGAATATCCCCTCAGTCACGCAGTTTAGGATATGCCACCATTCTTCAGCAGAGTTTCTTTTCTTTCAGCAAAGTAAGCGGCTCACGTATATGTCAAACAAAGCTTTAATAATAAAAACTGTAACACAATAACATACACTCTGAGAGAAACTAAAACAACATCCTGAGGCAAGAATGAGGCAAGAAGCAAGAATGACAGTTGGCCTCTGAACACACGAAGGGAGGGGCCAATTCCAGAGCACAATTCAAAAGCCCCGCCCACCAGGTGCCAGACATTCTACTATTCAAATGAGACCTCAGTGTTTTTCTAACACTTAGGTGATCTCAGGGTGGGGTGGGGGGGAGGCACTGAGGAATTTTCTCTTCCCTCCTATCTTGGGAACCCTGGAGAGCAGAAGGCAAGGGAGTGCATCCAGGGATTTGATCTGAGTGAAAGGAAGGATAGTCTCTCCTGCTGTACAGCAGGGGTGGAGAATTGGTTTCAGCTGAAGTGTCACATTTTCTCGTGGGCACCTTTCTGGAGGGGTTGCATAACAGTGGCCCAGTGCAAAAGTGGGCAGAACAATGGGTCTTTGTACAGTAGTTTTTATTCCAGTCTTTATTTATTACTCTACACTTACACGCACAAACTTCCATCCTCTTTCCACATAAGCAAGAGACGTTATCAGAGTCGAAGGACACATACCAGCCAAACAAATGCACTCCAGCATGGTGCTGCCTCTGGGCGTGGGTTGGGGAGAGTCCATATAGAGAGGTTCTGAGGTTCTCTATATCTACTGTTCAGGAAAACACCCTAGGCTTGGCAGAGTATATGGGAGTAGAGCAGGGCTGTCTGTGAAACTGTGGGGAGAGGGAGGTGTTGGGTGAATTGAACCTCCTTGCCCTTGCTGACTCAACCAGAGTGGGTGAGGACAATCCTCAGAAGGTTTGCCTAGTGTTGAAGTTGCCCATCAGCAGACCCACTAAAATATACTTGGAGTCGAGAGTTGATTTCATGCTCTTTTTTCAGCTCATAGTGGTGAGGAGGAATGGAAGTTCACCCTGAATGTCTGCCTTATATACATTAATTACACAATGGCTCCACGTGATTGGCTAATTCCGGCCAATCAGGTTGCGGATTCCCTTCCACCTGGAGCTGAATTGGGTGGCTCCTGTGGACCAATCAGACTGCTGCATTCTGGATCCTATTGTTCTAGGATCAATCAGACTGCTGCCTTTTGGATCCTATTCAACTCAGTACATAACACCCACCTGGTTGCAGTCTTCCCCATTGGGGCAGACTTTGCACTTTCCAATTTCAGTAGTGCCCTGTGCAAGGCCAAAATTTGCACCTGCCTTTTCTTACCTCCCATTCCCCTCAGTTCATTATGTCATCATTGCAATGCCCTGTGGGGCCCCCTAGGCCCATACCCAGATGGAACCAGTCATGCTGCTCTAAATCCACCTCTGTCCCCATTATGGTGAGATGTATTTCTATTTAAATTTTAATACGGACTTCTAAATTTGTGCCTATACACCTATAAATTTCATGCTAACCTGTATGCTGTTTTGTTGGCAATCTGTTTCCTCATCTTTTTCTTTTGCAAATGCATAAATGCTTCATCCCTAAAGATGAAAATACCAAATCTTAATAGTGTCTCAGTTGCCTTGCTAGGACATCACCTCCTGGTGAACCTACTGAGGAAAAAAAGATGACTGCAAAAAAGATTTCCTGTATTAAGGGGGGGGGCATCTCTCTACCACTAGCACTCATATGTGCTTTGAGATGTGCAAAAATCTGATAAAAAAAATACAGAGAAGCCGCAAGTCAATGGTTAGGGTTTGAATACTGTTGTGGAGAACAAATATGAGGCAGACTGTGGAGCTACTACACATCCTTGTATTTCAAAGATACTAAGTGACTCTGATTTTAGAAGGGGCTTAGGCCTATGCAAGCAGTTGGGGGCCTGTGGCTCTTTCATTCATTGGAATCTAAGTATTGCTTACTAAGGGCTGGTACAAATGGTGCACTTTTGCAAGGCCATGTGTCCTACTTTATAAGGGGCAGCACTCTATTTAAAGAGTTCTGGTGAAAGGATGAACAAACATGTCATTTGGGTTTCTAATCTTTCCACTCTCAAATTCAGTTTGCCACATTTCTGCAACAATTTGCAGGTTGTTGGGTTTTTTTTTAATCCTCAAAAAACGGTTCAGTACGTAAGTGTAGTTTCCCCCCGGACTCACATTTTTGTGTGCAGTTTTGGCAAATAGAGACTTTTTGTTTTTGTTTTTGCAAATGATTGTTGCTAACATAGTTCATTTTTGTATCATATTTTTTAAAAATAACAATCATTGCATTTTTATGCACACTTTCCCCTAATGTATGAATTTTAGTTCACACTACTTGGTTGGGAAACTGCACTGCAAAATCCAGAGAAGTTTGGATTTCAAAGGGTAGCTGGGTTTCAATTTGCTCATGCTCAGTTTGAGAGGTGCGAATTATGTCATTTCTCGGTAAAATGCAAACAGAATTGAATTTCTCCCCCCTCCCTGTGAGAGCACAGCCCTCTGTTTGAAGGCATTCTCTGTTTGAAAGGTAGTTTAGTCCAAGCCTGGTATAAAGATAAGCATCTGTAAGAAGGGAGGACAGGAGTGGCCTTGAAGCTGCCCATCAACCATTAGCCCCTTGATAGCAGACTGAGCAGGCAACCAGGTCTCTTGGTCACAGCCTTCAGAACTTCATAACTTCTTTTTTATTTTTTAAAAAGCACATTCTCATTGCATCCAACCCCTTCTCCCCATATTAATAAAGTTACATATTAGTACAAGATAATTAGTTGGGGTGGGGAAGTTTAGTGCGCTTGATGTTTTATATATTTTCCCCCACTTAGTCATTCCACAAATCCAGTAATTCTCAGTGGATCTGTCAGTGACTCACTGGGGATTTAAACGGGCTTTTGACCATAAAAAGACTGCTCAGATTTCTCATGAGAGATCACAAAGACTGTCAAAAGTCACTGGCTTTATTCAGTTTCCACATGCTCATTCAAGTCCACCTCCTGTGCTGGAAAGTTAATACATGAAGTGGGATTTTTTAATATATTTTTTCGTATAGTTGCTTTTCAAATCATGTTTGTCAAGGATTCCCTTTGATCTAAGGGTTGTGTGAGCAAACAATGTGGTTTTGTGACTAATTTTTTCCCTTTTCCTTTTTAAATGCTACATAAATAAATCCCTTGCCAATCCAGCTGGATGTGAATCCTTAGTATTCCAGGCTGTACATTGAGATACATTTTACTGTGTGATCCTGTGCTTGTGTAGTCTGAAGCAAACCCCTTTGAATCTGATGGTACTCCTTTTAAATGTGCTTCAGGGTCTAGTTATTATTATTATTATTATTATTATTATTATTATTATTATTATTATTATCAGTGCTTTTTTATGGGGGGATGCAGGGGTACACATACCCCTAAACATTTTGTGAATCTAAGTTTGGCCTCGTTGAGGGGCAGCATTTCAAAATGAGTAGGAAAATGACAGTACCCCTAAACAATTTTTTTTAATTAAAAAAAAAGCACTTATGATGATGATGATTAGGAACCGGGCAGTGGTGGAACACCCTCCCATTGGATGTCAAGGAGATAAGTAACTGGGAGTGGAAAGAGCTGTGAAAATAATAACAATATAATAATAATTTATTATTTATACCCCGCCCTTTTGGTGTTTGGAAAGGGGCCATGGTTGGTGGGATTGGAGAACAATGAGAACAGGGTCAGCAGCCCCTTGTGTGTGTGTGTGTGTGTGTGTGTGTGTGTGTGCTCAAGCACTTTGCAAATGAATTACCATACCATATCAGATTTCCTTTCATATTAACCTCAATTTATGAACATAGACTGGTAGAATTTTTCTAAAATACCATATAGGCCTCACTCCGATATGGATATGGATGCCTATCACTTTGAAAGTTTATTTAATTACTACCTTGAATGTTAGAGATTAACCTTCTGTCATTTAAGCCACATCAATGATATAAGACTGGTGTGAGTTTTTGTTTCTTTTTGCTTAAAGAAAACACTGAATTCATTTTCCCGTACAGAATCAAAACCATTTGGAAGCTTGTTTCAATTCAGCCCCTTCCTCGGAAGACTCTTTAACACGCAGCAGAAAAAAAGAGCTATTTAATTTCACACTCAGCTAATCCTTTAATTATTTTCTTCCGCACAGAATGGAAAAGTCTATTAGGTCCATAATAAAATAAAAAATAAGTTAGAGAGACTGTTATCTTGAACCTTGGACTGTCTTCCATTTTCTCTCTCTCCCCCTGAGAACATAACCAGATATCAGTGTTGATAGTTAGTGATAAATTACCCTTTGGGGGGTTATTCTGCCACTCTCACATCACATTGCAGTGGAAATGAATCACCTTTTAAAACCACTCATTCATCCAACAGATTTTGCTTCTCAGATTCTGATATGAAAATGGTACTCACACAGGGATATTATGCAGCCTTGATTTAATTAAGAGTTGCAACATACAAATGACTCTTATACCACAGTAAAAGCGGGGAAAGACCTACAACACAATTGTTCATCCTCCAAGTGGAGGGTGTGTGTTTCTCTGTCCCTGGACACGAACGCCACTGCAGAGAAATTAATCACACATTTCTGAAAGACAAAAAACAAAAGACAAGAAACTGACCTGTTGCTTCCTGTGTTCTTGGAATGGTAATATCGAAACCCTCTTCAGTACCAAGAAAAAGAAAAAAAAAGAAGAGATTATGGATGTGTCCGTCTATGGCAAGATGGCTCATGATGGATAGCTCAGTCAGTAGAACATGAAACTCTTAATTATCAGGGCCATGGGTTCAAGTACAAGAAAGTAGAGTCCGATTAAACAACAGGAAAAGCTTTCTGAGTGTAGAAGCTCTTTGACTCTCTCGGAAGGTGGTGGACGCTCCTTCCTTTGGAGGTTTTGAAGCAGAGGTTAGATGACCATCTATTATGGATGCTTTAGTTGACATTTCTGCATTGCAGGAGGCTGGACAACATGACCCTTGGGGACTCATAATTGTGATTCTGTTAGTCCTCTCTTTAAAGGGATGTCTGGTTTAAAGAGATCAATGGTGAGACCCTGGACGATGGACTGAGCAAGCAAACAAGTCACCTACTCATAGCCTGCCCCATTTGGATGTGATATATATTTATATATTTATTTCAGTTTACATTATT